TTGTTTTTATGTGTATGACCATTTTTCTGGGAAGAAAATAAAATTATTTTTAACATAATTCTTCTTGTGTTTTATTGTGTCTTTGTTTTATATTGTTTGCAGTTTTATTTATTTTTTTTGTGATTTCACTGTGTATTTGAACACGATTATTTGTCACCTTTGCAAGTGGAGCAGCCCTTGTGGCGCGGAGGACACATTGCGCCCTGTTGTGTCGCGAGCATCAGAAACAGAGCAACAATAACAAGCGAGTCAAACCGGCCAGTTTATTGGTTGTGAATGTGCTTAGAGGGATTCAAGCAAACGGGAAGTTGCCCAGCGAGCCCAAGTAAAGCCACAGAACCATTCGGTGCCGAGGTTAGCAAAGTTATGATGAGCACGCCACGTGATTTTTTTTTTTTCCCCTTCTCAATATAAGCATGATGCTATTTGCTACACGGTTAGTTCCATGTCAGTGTCATCTCCATGCTCCCTCCAAGTGTATTCATTTCATATTTGTGTCTCGATCAAGAAATGTCCGGTCAGTTCAGGTAGTGCTTTATGTATTCAACATCTGTGTTAGTTAACCGAGTGCAGTGTTGGTGCTGTCTCTTTGCTATTTGGACTTGAGGACTTCGGCCTCGGACGGGTCGGCGGGCGGCGGGGCTGCATGCGGCGCTTGCTGGAGTGCGGCGAGCAGCACTTTGTCCAGCTTGTGCTCCAGAGCGTCCAGGCGGCGGTCCACGTGCTCCTTTAGACGCCGCTCCATTTCCTCCAGGCGAGATTCCATGGACGCGTCCACAGTCCTGACGGACAATAAGCAACAACCAAGTCCGATGTAAGTACACTGACGTTTTTTCCAATGTGTCTTTTTTTTTTTTTAAACATTTGTGTGGTGTTTTGATCATTTATTTATGGCATTCTTTTACGTGTACAGTATCACTGCCAACCAGTGACGCTAAGCTAACAATGTTATAAGAAACACTCAGTCAGTCCACTTGCTGACTTGGAAGAACATTCTTGGACATTCTCCGCTTTCTGTCTCTGAGGGCAAACTAAAAATAAAACGTCAGCAAAAAGCCACGCTGATTGGCAGCCTTGACATTGGCAAAACTTTGTCACTCAGTGACCGCCACCAAAACTTTTTTGAGAGCCCGCAACAGATCTGGTTCCAGCTGCGGGACATTTGATGATGTATAACAAAACCTCACCCCTGAAAAAAAAAAAACAGCAAGAACAAGAACTTGAAGCAGATGTCGGAGTTGATGTGCCTCCAAAATGTTTTCACTTGTGCAACACATAATCCCGCACAAAGGCGGAAAAAGACAAGTCCAAACAGATGTGGTAAGGGATGAGCTCAGAACATAAAACGCAAATGTACACACCCACACGAGAAAATTATGTTTAATAATATACCGGGAAAAAAAGAACATCAAAATACTTGCATAAGTTGACTACAAAAGTAGGTCGAAACAAAATCTTTGCGTCGAAGCTTCATGTTGTGTTTCAGGTGGGGGTCAAAGCACTACTTTTGTCGGAATGAGACTCCACCACCGACATCTATCCTTGACACAAAAATTGTGACAAAGCACTATTTTGTGTCTCTGTAGAACCGTAATTCACTTCAACATAGTTCCTTGGCACCAAGATGCAACCAAAGTATTACTTTTAGTGCTTTGGCATAAGGAAAAAAAAAACTGGTGGTCAGCCGTATCAACATATAATGGACTGGTCGCCAAATGAGGTCAGCACATAGATGACAAACACATGAAAAGAAAAACAAGACTCACGGATCGATTGTGTTTTTTTTTTTGAAGAGCGCGATTCGATTTTGGACTTGAGTGGGGCGGCTGCGTCCGCTGCGCTCGCGCTTCTGCTCCCGTCCGTCCGTCCGAGTGGCGTCACGCTCGGATGACTCGGCCGGCGACAAAGATCACTTTGTGGTGCCGCGAGAAGGCACAACGAGATCTTTTGTCCGATTGTCACGGAGGGGTTGGCGTTTCTGTCGCCATGGCACCCACGGGCAAAAATTCGGCTGGCGTTTGTCCTGGCTGATTTTGGCTGCGAGGGCAGTAACACCCTGGACTGGTTGCCAGTTAATCACATGGCATATACAGACAAACAAGGGACAACTTGCCAGTCAGACTGGATCGGTCGCCACTGCCAGTCAATTGCAGGGAACATGGACAAGATATTATCTCTTTTAAAATCGTCAATAAATAAATACATAAAAGGGGATTTTTTTTTTGGCAGATTTTTGCCCTCTGTTGTAAAGTCCAACAAATACGAAAGCACCAAGTATTGCAAAAAATAGTCAAATGTTTGGCCTACAATTCATATCTTTGTTGTCAGTGAGAAGGAAGTGAAGAAGTTATTTTCTCCATGAATATATATTTGAAACAATTCGGTTAATAAATCGGTTCTCTGAAAGTTTGTGTGCTGCCAAGTCTCAGAATCTGCGCCCAAAAAAATTTATGTAACTTACTGCGTGTTGTTCTGGTCCACTTTGAGTGGCGCCAGCTGAGCACAGAGCTCGCGCAGCAAGTTGTCAGGCGAGACGGCGCCCATGTCGTCATCCCGGCCGCCCGACAGGAAGTGGCGCATCATCTGGGACAGCCGTCCGTCCGGCGGCGGCCCGTTTGGTGGCGCTTGGGCAGTGGGCCTGACGGAGTCTGATGGATGCTGTCAGAAGTCATAAAATAATGTTCTCATGTCATTACGTTTTAAAAATTCAGTTATGTCAAGGAATGAAAAATATTATAAATAAAATATAATATCTACATCAAACAAATGCTCGGTGGGCCGGATAACTAAACGACGCATCAACGCCACGCGTGCTCCATACGGTTGCGGCATGCCGTACCTGGAAGGCGGCGGCAGCTGCGGTCCCGACATTCGGCGGTGGGGCTAAGGTGGACAAGAGGCCCCCACCCATAAGGAGGGGCAGGAAACTGCTTTGGTTCTGGCAGGGACACGTTGTCATGAGCACAGCCATGTATACATACCGTACGTACATCAGCCCGTCCGCCATATTGCATGTGGCAGATCTGCCTCGTAAAAAGGGGCCATTTGCAACAAGTGAGCTTGAACTGACTGACTTAGTGCACGTACGTACCTTCTGCTGGAGGCGCAGCGTCTCCATGAGGTTTTGAGCCCCTGGCGAGAGGGTGCCGCCCATCTCGTCCACCAGACTCTGGACCTGCCGCAGGTCGATGGTGCCCGCACCGGCGCCGCCGTCTTGGTACGGGGCGTGCTGCGGCGGCCGCAGCGCCACCACCACGCCGCGCAGCAAGACGCTGCTTCGACCCGCCAGAGAGAGCAGCTGAGAGGGCGAACGGGATTTCAAGCCGTTAACAACGAGAACTATTACTACAGTATAGTGATGATGTATATTGTCATCTAATTTTTCTATGGTACAACTCTATTATATTTCCTATCCCAACTATGAAATGTGTGAATGCAAACAAAGTGAGTTTGCTTCAATCACCTTCACGTCACATGACGACGGCGCGTCGTCCAGGCTTAGTTGCTTCCTGTAGAAAGGTCCTCTGCCCACAAAAAAAAAAAAAAAAGATATGAAACCTATTTCTCAATATTTCTGCCATGACATACGGCTTATTAATGACCTGTCACCATGCTGTACATCATCCTGCTTGTGGCCCCGAACAGTCCCGCAATATTCCCCCGTGGGCAGGTACACCTCCATGGTCCGCGCCTCGCTGATTAGCGTCAGGCGGCCGATAGCGGCCAGCCCGGCGGGGCCGCAGCTCAGCGTCACGACGCAGGGCTCGCCGTTGTCGCCGTCCACTCGCTCCAACAGGACGCCATCGCCCCTGAGAGACACGGGTGCAAAACGCCACCTTTACTTCATTCACATGTCAAATGTTAGAGTGGCATATTTACCGCCACCGTGGCAGCCTGAAGTTCAGTTAGTTACAGTTGTACAGCAATTCAACTTATAACAAGCAGCAGAGTTACAATGAAAAATATAATCTTGACATCCTCGCAGACATATGTACTTTATCCTCTGCAAAGAATGACTCATTTCGGCTGTCCTACCCAAGTGTCTGCCTCAGCTTCTGTTCTTCTTCACTGTTGTCGTCATCCGGCGCCGTGACTTCGACCGTCAGCACCACGTCGGCCAGGCTGCTGCCTCCGCTTCGACACTGCCACGCCGTTCCCACCCTCACGTCCACTGTGACGCCAGATGCCACTTGGAGGAGACATCATCATCACCACTACATAACTGCCTTGCACAAAAATGACTCATGTTGTGTATTTTCTTACGAAATCAACTCACTCAAAATTGTAATATTATTAAGTTACTGTGTTTGCCCTGTATCTAATTCCAAATCTGCAAAAAAATATTTAGACTTCTCCCGTTCACTATAGGGCAGCAGAAGATCCAGTGTAAGTGCAGCTGACATGTCTGCGATCTAGTGGTGAATGGTGATATTACAACTTAAAACAACAGCCAACCCCTGCATACTCGTGCACCCACGGATTTGCATTTTCTCTCGATTTATTTTCCATTCGTCCAATATTTATTACTATTTTTTTTTTCAAATCAACCAAAGGGTCCACTCAGAGAGTGGTCGCCGACAGTTGCCCTTTAACAAGAGATTGGTCCCCAGTCCATGTCAGGGCGCATACAGATAAACAGTGGACAGGTCGCGAATCTAACGATAGACGGAACCGTCTGGAGGTCTTCGTGTCCCTGTCGGTACCGCCATGCAGATGACAACGAAGGGTGTTAAAAGGCGTCTATTCCTACCCGCCATGTCTACCGCCTGCAACCGTTAATAACGCCGATATGTCCTCTTCAGTCTTCGCATGTCTTCCAGCCCGTTCAACCATCAACCCACTCCATTACAATAGATTATTCTTGCAAGATACATCAAATCAGAGCATTTTCCTAGTGGCTTCTGGTTTGCTCGGCAAGGAACGGGTCACGATATACTTCCGGGGTTTCTGCCGACGTCATAAAACAGCGACTGGTTGTTATTGAATACGCGTCTGCTACTTTTGGCAAGTGCTGACTTCTCAAATCGTCGTTGCCGTGCGTTTTTCAACAATTTGCACGTCATGGAGTCCAACTGTTAGGAATCGTTGCTGGGTCACCAGACGACAAAGTGACAAAAATAGAATAGAAAGCGACTTGAGTTCAAGAATCGAGTCAAAACATCACAGACTGAGGTCGCTGATGGCTTCTTTGCGCTGCTCCGACTTAACCCAAACATCATCTACCGCTTCGGTAAAGTAACTTTTTCCCTCCATTTTATTCGCTTTCAACATGACCAACATGTCGCTGCCGTTCTAGCGTCGCCCCGGGATGGACTTTAGCGCGTGCTACGAGGACTCTGTGTCCAGCGTGGCCGCCGCCGCCCGCCTGGGCAACAAGAGGCGCATGAGGTACCTGATTCGCCAGGGCCACACCGTCGACCTTGCGGACAACCGGGGCTGGAGGGCCATCCACGAGGCGGCCGCTGCCGGCAGGGTGGGCTGCCTTAAGGAGATCCTCTCTGCGGCCGCCAGGACGGGTAAACGCAACCGCAGCCTTGTCGTTTCACTTTGTGATTAAGAGCTTCAAATTCGAATTGATTGACACCAAGCCACAATTATGGAAGATGGCCACAATTACTGGATGGTCTTACGAGTGAGGACAAGGATAGCAGACAATTCCATAATCCTCAAAACGAAACAAGCAATTGCTGTGCTGGTTCTCCCCCGTGTGCAGCCGGCTCGTCGGCGGGCTTCCAGGCGTACGTCAACTCGGCCACCCACGAGGGCGAGTCGGCCTGCTTCCTGGCGGCGAGAAGCGGCCACCTGGATGCCGTCCGCCTTCTCCTCAAAGCCAGAGCCAACATCGACCAGCTCACCAACGACCTATCGTGTCCTCTCTACGTAGGTAAAACTACATGTGTGTGTTGGCAAGGTGTGGGTGAGTTAGTCAGGGGCGTGTCTGCGCATGCATTCTGGTTGATGCCGTGCGTGCGTGTGTTGCATCGCAACGCCCTCAAGTAACAAGTGGTCTCTGGCAGCGGTCAGCAACGGACACAAGGATGTGGTGCAGCTCTTATTGGCCAAGGGCGCCATGTTGGACAGATCGCACACGGCCTCCTGCTGGACGTGCCTTCATCTAGCGGTCTATCAGGTCATCCCCGCGCACGCACTGTTTTGTTCAGTTCATCAAATCAGATTGAGGCAAACTTGACCACATTGGATTTTGGAAAAGGACACATGAGCGTACATATTCGCAGTTGACATAGCCTCACTCTAAGTGTACTTCTTAGCACAACTGCACACTTTTCAATCTTCGCCTTGATGTACTTTGTGTGCTGCTTGTAGGATCACGTGGACATCGTGCGGTTGCTGGTGGAGTCGGCCGACCTGGAGGCACCCGACGACTACAAGGTGACGCCGCTCTTCCTGGCGGCGCAGCACGGACGGCGGCAATGTCTCGAGGTCCTCGTCCACGCCGGTAAGCTGGTGGTCCATGTCGGGAGATCCATCACTTCCTGTACGCTCTCTCGTGAGGTGCTGTTGTTGCAATGAGGGCAGGTTATCCCAAGGGTTTCCAAACTGTTGCTTCAGAGGATTTTTTTTTTCTTTTCAGGCGCCAACGTGAACGCGCAGGCGGTGGACCTGGCCTCGCCGCTCCTGCTGGCTTCTCAGGAGGGTCACCTGTCTTGTGTGGACTTCTTGTTGCAGCACGGTGCAGATGCTAACCTGGTGTGCGGCCAGAACTGGCCCCAGCTGCCCATCCACGCCGCCGCAGAGTTTGGCCACCTCAGGTAGGTATTATTCCCCAATGCCGACTTATAGGCCGCGTTGAGGTTGTTTCTAATGTAGTGTGTTTTTGCACTGGTATTGTTTTGGCGTGTAACAGTATCCTGCGGCGGCTGCTGCGCGTCACGGAACGTGCGTGCGACCGCGACGAGGGCATGGTGAGCCCGCTCTACCTGGCCGTTCAAGGCCGCCAGTTGCCCAGCATGGAGCTGTTGCTTGCCGAAGGCTTCAGCCCTGATGCCCAGGACTGCGACAGCCTCCTGGACCTGCACTCGCCGCTCTCCCTCGCCTTAGAATGCGAACTCAGGCAGGCCAGCACCCAGGATGCGTGCAGTACCCCGCCCCAAGATGTCATATGATGGTGCCATAATTTGCAAATAGATGAGCTTCCTCTTTTCAAGAAAATAAAAAGTGCACGGCACTGATGTGGAGTCCTTAAAATTCTCAAGTGTCACATGCGAGCCATTTGGCTTTGTACTGTTTTCAGATATCCGCTGGTTGAGGAGCACACACTTGACAGCTTGGGGTCTGGTTTGCGGCACTGCCTAAGTTGGCCGGGTGTATCTGTGACGCGCTGCTTGTGCATGCCCGCAGGGAGGAGGCCAGGCTGCTGCTGGCGGCGGGAGCGACGCTGGACCTGGACGAGTGGAGTCTGGTGTTGAGCCGGCACGACGCAGATGTACTGAAGCTGGTCCTGGAACACAGGTGAGCAGCATCCATGCTTCAACCTCCTCCTGCTTCTTCCTCCTCAAAAGTACAGCAGAGGGCGGGGCCACCGCCCCGGGCATCCACAGCAATCACAGATTTTGCTATGAGCTTCGGCAAACACTGTGCTATGTGCATAAACAAAGCGTGCCTGCTGACTTGCAGGTGGCTTTACCCACCACGTTTCTTGAGCGACGACTCGGCGGCGGACGGCCGTTCAAGCAAGACGGCGTTGAGGCCGCCGGAGTTTGACGACATGTTGCTGATGGCGCTGCAGCAGGCGGAGTTTGCCGACAGCTGGCTGCCGCCGCTCCTGAAGGCCGGACTGGAACCCAAGTTGCTGCTGCACTGCAACATGTGCGTCTCTCCCGCTTGCTGCTCGGTTCACTTTTCAGTACCCTTCACCTTCCATTTGCAATGTCCGACAGCCTCAAAAATAGTCTTTTCCTTAGCACCACCTTTTTTCTAATATAGCAAATAGGACCGTTTTTCTACAGTCAGCCCAGGGAGTCGCACTTCTCAAACACCCGGGAATGTTTTTTTTTCTTCTAAATATGTTAAACGTTAATTGATTAACCCGTCATGGTTTTTTGATTCATCAAATGAATTTTAAAAAAAGTAATTAGGTAAGTCCATTTTTCCTTCCCCTTCTTTGTGCTTCCAGAATGAAGGTGGCCAACAGCGAGATGGTCAATTTCCTGCTGCAGTTTGTCAACTGGTCAACAATGCCCCCCTCTTTGAAAGACATCCTGTGCCAAAGACGGGCACGGAAGACGTGGCAACCACTCCCGCAATTTGGTAGCAACACTGGTATTTGTTTTCCATGATGTGGTCATGATAACATTCGGACTAATAAGGAGAAATGGGAGAGTAGCGCAGTGCAGTAGTTTAGTATCACTGAAATGATTTTGAATGTGGTCTCTTCCTCCGTGCAGACTCGATCCCCGACCTGTCGCATCTATGCCGGCTGCAGATCAGGATTTTAATGGGAGCCGACGCGGTGATGAGACCAGATGTGGTGGGCAGGCTCCCCGTACCCCCGTGCCTCCACCACTTCCTGCAGTTCGACGACATCGCCTAGGAGACACTTGAACGTCTTGTGGTGGTGCACCTTGCTTCTGTAACCGTACCGGAAGTTTTGTTTGCAGGAGCGACATTCAAATGAAAAGAAAGTTGGTTGTTGTTGTTTTAAATAACAAATTCCAATCACATAGATGATACTGTGAGGTTTAAATGGTGTTAATGTTCAATACATTCGTATCATAGTTTGTTACAAATGTCTGCTGTTTTCATATTTTTGTGATGCTTGCAAAATAAAAACTGTTGCTTCTGGAGCAAACCTCTGTCAATCATTTGAAATGTGAATTGTTTTGATCCAAAACTCAGGCCGAAGAGGTGGCACGCTGATTTTGAAAATGGCGTAATTTACTCTCACTGCACATGGAAAAAGCCTTCGTCTTTTTTCCCATGTTTGGGACGTAATGACTACTTTAAATGACTGCTGTAATGGTGCATTCCAGGAAGGTGGTCAAATGTTTTTTGTTCGGGTTCATCGTTTGGGACCTCCAGCAGACTTCTTAATAATGTCCTTCAATGATAGAAATTATTGAGACAAGCAACATGTTTATATTGTAAATTATATTTTGCCATTCACGCTCCGCGTTATCCTGGGGAGTGGCCATTGTCAAGTGACGTCAGATTGAAGCTGGTCGGTGATGTCTGGGTTTTTTATTCCCCTAACTTTGCGAGTTGAACTGAAACGCAACAAAGGATAATGAGGTTGTTGGCACCAAATATGCAGCAAATCGATGGCTCTGTGAGGTTCAAATAAAGCCACTGATTAGTGAATTTTCCTGTTTTGTTGTCGTTCTTTGTCGCGTTTATGACGTCAGAAGGGTTACAATAGACGCAAGTCTTTGTCAATCATTCAACAGAACAGCTCTGGTTGGTCAACGTCATGCGAATGACAAAAAAGTATTTTTAAAAAAAGTCAAGTAAATCGATGATTTGTTTCACGTTGACTTGCGTCTTTTGTTGTGGTCACGTTTATGACCTCATTTCTTTCTTCAGACGATTGACGCAGGACATGTCAATCATATGAAGAACAGCTGTGATTGGTAGATGTGGTATTTTGTGGGCCGTGCTCCCTGACAACAGGAAGTAAGTGTGAGTATCGAATGCTATGTGAGATAAATCCAAAAAGAACCACCTCGCAAAGGCCTTTATAATCTTCATGTTCTGCGTGAGTCTATCAAATCTATTCTTCATTCCTTTTCAACGCCAACATTCCTATTGCGTGTCTGACGCTTGCTAGCTTCATTGTTGTTGAAGCGAAGAGATACCAACGGAAACATTGATGACATTATTACTAGAAATATTGAACATTATGACTTTTCCGACAGCGTTGAAGTAAATAATTTCAATTTGAATATTATGAGAGGTCGTCCAGCTCGGGAGTTTGGACAATAGCTGCTTGATGGGACAGTTGTTCAGCATTCATTTACTGTAATGGTGACGAATATTTTATCGTGAAACCACAGTGGGCGTTTTATTTATTTTTTTAGGACTCGATTGTGATTAAAAGGTAGTGCGTGTTTGCTTTCAACCTATTGCTGTGTGAAAACACCTGCGTGTGTTTATGTGCGCGCGTGTGTTACAGGTGAGGTCAGCAGCGGGCAGACGAGTTGCGGTGCGGACGTCATGCGCGCCAAGCATGCCGGGAGTAGCAGAGATGCTGCAGTGTGGCAGCAAACCCGAAGTCTACTGTACAAAAACGTGCTCATCAAGTGGAGGACCAAACAACAGAGCTTGCAGGTCTTTCTCTCTTCACCCACAATTTTGAAGGAACAAATGTGAAGCCACAGCAGAATAGAGGTCGTTCTGATTGATGCCATTGTGCTCTCTCGGTGCGGTGGTAGGAAGTCATCCTCCCGCTGTTGTTGCTGGCTCTGCTGATCGTCATCAGTAATCAAAATCCGCACGTCTCCTATGCCGGCGTTGCCACCGTGGAGCTGGAGAGGGACGACGATGTCTTCACCACCATCGGCTATACGCCCGTCACCAACGTCACCAGCCGCATCATGGACGAGGTGGCTCGTGGTATGCGTAAGACACACGCACCTCGAAACATGTACACACACCACAAGCCACACCAAATGTACGTGCTTGAAGACAGTGTGTGTTAGTGTCGACAACCCGCATTCACATTTGCGCGGCACCCGCAGACCTCCCGGTCAGTTTGGAGATGTTCGCCAGCGAGGAGGCACTGGAGAACGCCAGCGTGTACGAGCCTTCGGGTCTGGTGGGGGTGGTGTTCGCCGACTCCTGGGCCACCTCCTACAGCCTCCGCTTCCCCTACAACCAGCTGCCGCAGCCTAGCGACTTCACAGAGTCTGTCGGTAACGTCCGGAACGACGACGGCGGGGGCGGGGTGGAGGCGTGGCGTTGACAAAGGCATCTTGGCAATTCCGACCCGCGCTCTCGGCATTCATGCGTCTTTTGGTGCTTGTTTTTCGTCCACAGGCGACTGTCTGAGCAGCTCCTTCAACTGCCGGGCGGCCAACTATTGGCACGCGGGATTCGTCCGCCTCCAGTCGCTCTTGGACGCCGCCATCATCCAGGTGAACTGTGCTTGGCATCGAAAGAGGACATTTTGTTCTGATTCCGGGGCTTGTACAAACACCTACTGAGGAATTGTCGGAACGTTTGCTCAGAAGTCGCCTTTGACACCAGTTCCAGCTGTCGACACAACACCAACGGGAGTTGTCCATCAAAATAATGTTTAGTCCCCCCCCCGGATGAGATTCACACAGAAAATAAGTGCGTCAAAACAAAGCCAGTGGCTCAAATGTGGTTTGTTTGCAATCTAATTTGAGCTCGCCGGTAGGCGGCAGCTCACTCAAATCACGCTGAAGTTTGCGATGTCGCGACAGATGCAGACCAAGCGTGCGGTGTGGAGTGAGCTGGACGTGACAGCGGTGATGATGGGTCAGCCGAGCTGGGTGGATGTGCACAAGTTCCCGCGCGCCCTGATCTCCATCTACCTGGTGCTGGCCTTCACGCCCTTCGTCACCTTCCTCATCGTCAACGTAGCGGCCGAGAAGGAGCGGCGCATCAAAGACACCATGGCCATGATGGGGCTCTACGATTCGGCATTCTGGTAAACGGCGGGTGGCTTGCCTTCTCACTTGCTCTCCACGAGCAGTGGCGACCAGTCGTTTGGGCTTGCTGGTTGTCAAAACCGCGCGGGCTTGTTTGCAGGATGTCATGGGGCCTCCTGTACGCCGTCCTGGTGAGCGCCATGTCCATCCTGATGGCCATCATCGCCACCTGCACGGCGCTTTTCCCCAACAGCAACTTCCTGCTCGTCTTTTCCCTCATCTTCCTCTATGGCATTTCTTCTGTGAGTATCGCCTTCTACCCATCCTCCAATGGAATGCAACATCTCATCTTACTTCAACATTGGCATCACTCGGGGGTGGCAGATGTCCAACTCGTCGCGCTTTAGATGAACTGGTTAATTTGCCGGGATTGCTGAAAATATTTGGTTGCCCACGTCACAGGGAATGCTTGCGTGTGCGCGCAGATCTTCTTCTCGTTCATGCTGACGCCGTTGTTCAAGAAGCCAAAGTTTTCCAGCACGCTGGGCTCCATGTTGACGGTGGTCTTTGGATGCCTGTCGCTCTTCACCATCCTGATCAAGGATTTCCCGCAGCCGCTGGTCTGGATGCTCTGCCTGCTTTCGCCCTCGGCCTTCTCCATTGGCGTCGCTCAGGTGAACACACCAGCGTTTTTCTTGGCTCAAAATCAGCAGGAGGTGCTTTCATCGGAGCGACTCTTCCAATCATGCCATGGGTGTCAGTTGTATGTCCACCCTGTAGCTCACAATTGTGATGCGCGTGATGTGATCTCAGGTGGTGTACCTGGAGGCCCAAGGAGAAGGCGCCGTGTTCTCCTCACTGGCCAGCGGGCCTCATCCGCTCTACGTGCCAATGCTTATGCTGGTTTTGGACTGTGTGCTATACCTGCTGCTGGCCGTCTACCTGGACCAGGTGCTGCCAGGTGAGCGCTCACCTGAAGTAGTCTAGACAGAACAAATCCTTTCAGTGGCAGCCATTTTCAGAAAAGAAAAAAAAAATCAGCCATTTCAGAGCATTTCCCACAGGATTTTGTGTTGGACGATATTGTTTAATTCGACCTTTTTTCCCCTGTAGTGATCTGTAGTAGAGAAAAAAAGTCCATAGTTCCTCCGAGAAACCGACGTAATGAAATGGCACTTTCTTTTTTTGCCACTGTCTGCATCAGACGAGTTTGGGATGAGGAGGTCCTTGCTGTACTTCCTGAAGCCGTCCTATTGGTCCAAACGCAGCGAGCGCTACATGGAAGTAAGCTCGGTGTACGACGCCGAGATAAACGGCGCTCCCGGCGTCGGTGGCGGCGAGTCGGTGGAGGCCGTCTCGCCAGAGTTCAGAGGTAGAGAGGCCATCCGGTAAGTCGGCCGGCTTCTTGGTTCTCGCCGTGAGGCCACGCTGCTTTTCTGATGAGTGTTTGAGATTCCCGGGAGGAGTTTTTATATTTTACTTTGTGTGTGTGTGTGTGTGTGTGTGTGTGTGTGTGTGTGTGCCTGCACGACTGTCTGGCCCCCTGTACGGCAGCATCACCAACATTAGCAAGGTGTACAAAGACAAGGACAACACCGTGGAGGCACTCCGAGGTCCGCAGCTTTTTCATCTCGCATCGTAATCGCAAAACCGAATGTCACAGTAATTGTAACATTTGCATCTACAGGTCTGACCTTCGACATCTACGAGGGCCAGATCACGGCTCTGCTGGGCCACAGCGGCTCCGGGAAGTCGACTCTGATGAACATCCTGTGTGGCATCAGCCCGCCCAGCGCTGGCTCGGCCGCCATTTACGGCACCCCGGTGGGCGAGCTCGCCGACGGGCCCGAGATGAAGCGGCTGGTGGGCGTCTGCCCGCAGTTCAACATCCTCTTTGATGTCCTCACCGTGGAGGAGCACCTCAGGATCTTCGCCGCCATTAAAGGGATCCCGCTGGCCGACGTGGACGCTGAGGTAACGGCGATGTCGTTATTGGACTTGGAATGTGTCCGATGCGATAAATGGCGGTGCCCTGAACCACAAATGTTTGCTCTTTCCTTGGAAAGGTGTCCAAAGTGCTGAAGGATCTGGACTTGGAGAAGATCATGACGGCCCAGGCCAAGAATCTGAGTGGAGGCCAAAAGAGGAAGCTCTCGGTGGGCATCGCCATCCTGGGGGACCCCAAGGTACCTCGCTATATCCGCTCTCATTTTCATTGGCTTTTGTGTTGAATTTTCTTGCATTACGTGCTCTGGCTCACATTTGATGACGGCGGCAGTGACGCGTGCACATTTTTCAGATCCTGCTCCTGGACGAGCCGACGGCCGGCATGGACCCCTGCTCCCGACATCAGGTGTGGTCTCTCCTGAAGAGTCGCAGAGCCGGCCGAGTGCTTGTGCTCAGCACGCACTACATGGACGAGGCCGACATCCTCGCCGGTGCGTGAACCCGTGCCTGCAAACACGTACGCGCAGGTCATCACGATGCGGTGATAGATTACGATTTTTTTACAAACGGACATCTTATGTGGTGTGCATCCAGATCGCAAAGCGGTGATCTCGCAGGGCCGGCTGAAATGCGTGGGCTCGTCCTTGTACCTCAAGACCAAGTGCGGCGTGGGCTATCATCTCAGGTACTTTACGCTTCCGTCAGATCCGCTAAGCCACCTGCTATTCGTACGCCGCTTCAAACCCCTTCTTGCCCCACCGGCAGGATGTCCATCAGCAATCGCAGTGATACCGGCAAGATTTCCTCGCTGGTCCAGCAGCATATTCCCAAAGCCAAGCTGACACGGCAGCAGGAGGCGGAGCTAAACTTCACGCTGCCTTTTGAGAGCTTGGCTGCATTTGCAGGTAGGCCCAAGCACTTGCCGCTTGATCATCTTTCTCCATTCAAATGAATGGAATTGCCGTCAACCTCTTCCCGTCTCCAGCCTCAATGTTTTATTTGTGTCAGAGTTGTAATGCCCTAGGGAGTCCACAAGGTAGCAGCAAAGTACAACTTTTCTGTTAGACAGGTTACAACCTGGCACTCGGTTTTTCCTTGAACACACCCCCTTTACACTTGCTGTTTGGGCAGGATTGTTCTCGGAGCTGGACTCCCGACCTGACCTAGGCCTGGTCAACTATGGCGTTTCCATGACGACGCTGGAGGACGTCTTTCTGCGTCTGGAGGCGGAGGCTGAAGTGGACGAAGCAGGTGAGAGCGGTGCCAAAGCCCCAATGAAAATGGTAGATCTTTTTCTGACAAAAATCTGATTTCCGTAAAATGTTTTACTGTCTTCCGTATGCGAAAGACTACAGCGTGTTCGGTCGGGAGGAGGCGGGGGACGAGTGCGACGCTACAGTGGCAATGAGCAGCGACGACGAGGCGGACCGGCGGCTGCTGATGTTCTCGGACGGGTCGGAACTGGCGAGGGGTGCGGCGCTCTGGCGCCAGCAGTTCAGTTCGGTGGCGTGGCTCCACATGCTCAACTTGTGGCGCGAGAGGAAGGCTTTGCTTTACGTGTGAGTCCACCAGCACCCTTTACACATGCTAGCAACATGCACTATAGCAACACTAACCTCTCACACCTCTGTGGTTCCGCAACTCTTGAGTCGTACTAACGAGAGTGCGCCGGTTGGCCGGCAGTCTTTCGTTATTGCTGGTGTTTGTAGCCACCATGCTGGTCCTGTCTTTGTCCACGGGGAATATCCTGCTCCACTCGCCGGCCCGCCAGTTCCTGCCCATCTACCTGCTGGGCAGAAACCAACCCCCCCGCAGATACGCCAGCAGACTCCTGGTGTGCAACTCGACAGGTGACAACTCGCAAGTCCGTTGGAATATTTTCCGCTTTTGTTCCCGGCCTCACGTGTCACGTTTGACGCTGACGCAGGTACGGATATTTCGGACTTTATCCGGAACCTGGAAGGGCAGGACATCGCGGTGGAAGTGGCGAATCACTGCGACTACATGATGGCGGCTCCGCACAGCGCTGCCATCAACGTGACGAGCTCCAGCAAGGTCACTAGAGGATGTTTATTTTTTTGTTTTGTTTTTTCCGTCAAAATCCCCACAAACGACGTTAGCCTGTTCAAGTCTTTATGTGACTGCGTCCGTTGTGGCCGTGCAGCTAGTGTGGTTCAAGTGGCTGTTTTTTGGAATGACTGTCGTCTTTGCCACAGGGCTTCAGGTACAGCTTGGCCTTCAACAGCACCACAGTGCACTCGTTACCCATGACCGTCAACATTCTCAGCAACGCTCTCCTTAGAGGGCTCAACAGCACCGCGCGCATTCAAACTTGGACCAAACCATTTGATTATGTGAGTATTTTGTCGCGTCACAGGCTTTGTCCAAAACTAATCCAAATACAGGAATCCTTATTTAATATATTTTTTTCAAAAGTTACAGTTGTCCAATTCACATTTCAGCCATCGACCGGTAGATTTCTTTTGATGCAAAGAAGACTCGAGTAGTCGAGTGCCTCGTGGTCTGGCCCCTTTGCAAGTGAAATGAGAGGCGCAGCAATTCGTGGATGAATCTGTGATAACATTTTTAAATTGATTACAGTAGTTATGGGAAATTGATTCTGCTGAATATTGGAATCGGCGTGGGCTTGACAAAAATCCATCTGGGTTGTGCCCGCTTGTCAAACAGCCGGTGCCAGTTTCCAGATGTGGCGACGTGATTGTCTGGTTTGCGTCCCGCAGAAAATTTCACCCGCCACGGCGTACGTGCTGCTCTTCATCGAGTCCGTCTTACTGGGAATGTTGGCGGCCGGCATGCCCGCCTATTTTGCCATGGAGCACATGCGAGACCAGGAGGTAAGACCCAACGGTTCCATTAGCCACGGTCTTGGACTATTCGCTGCATTAATCCACCAAAACAATTTATTTACAATTAGTAAATATTCTAAAAATGTATATAATCATTCAAATGAAACAGTTAAACAAAGGAGCTGTTCCGTGTGTGCATTTTCACATCAAATTTGGCCCTCGAGCAGGATGGCATGGTTCCGGCACGCCGTCGAGTGCCCCGTTTGGAAGGCCGGCCGTATTGACGCGGGCCCCGTCTTGTCCCCCCCCCCACAGCTGAAGTGCCGCTCGACACTGCGTGTATCCGGTCTGCTCCCGTCGGCGTACTGGTGCGGCCAGGCGGCCGTGGACGTGCCCTTCTACTACCTCGTCGTGTCCTGTATGACCGTCATCCTCTTCTCCTTCCACTCCGGCAACTTGCTCACCTCCGGCAACCTCAGCACCGTGGTATGTGCCGCCTTTGCCCTCCACCGTCTCACAGATGCAACATCTGTGATACCCGAAAAATATGCAGGATGGAGAAGACCTATGTAAATCATTACGAGACCCCTCCCACACGCTTTAAACACCATTAAACCTATCCAAGCACACTTTCCCTGATGATCTGTTCACATCACTTTGAGGAACGAAGACTCTTGCTAGCACAGTTCTCCAACAAAAAGGCCAAGTATTTAGTTGTAAGAATGTGCAATGATGTGTGTTGGGAAGCCCGTGTTGACCTTTCCGTCTCTCCCTCAGGTCTTCTGTACCGTTGGTTTCGTTCCAGCCGTGATCCTCTTCACGTACGTCTGCTCTTTCGGGTTCTCCCGAGTCCAAAGCAACAGAGACTTCTTTTCCGTCATCTCCATGATGGTGAGTAACAACTGGTGGGGTGTCATGCAAGCTCATTCAGGGCCTGGACCACTGCTAAAATTATTAGATCGATGAATTCTGCTGTTTATAGCCGCAAACTGATTCTGTTCGAGCAAACTAAAATATACCGTCAAGTCCACCTCCAACTGGCATAAAAACAAAAATGGGCAGTTGATGCTCAGTAACGCTCCAAAAGGTTTAACTTCTTGGAATGTCTGGTGTAAAAAATAACAGAAATAAAAGCAACATAATAATCACATAATTTAATAGACAAGACATCATGCCACCAGTCAAACATGGGTGCAATGTGATAGTTTGCGGCTGAAATGCGACTTCAAGAACTGGACTACTGAAGTAATTTCGTTTGTGGCCTCAAATTCAGTTTGAACAAATGGGACAAAAACTGTTGGTTTCTTCTTGTGTGCATGTGCGTCAGGTGTGCGTGGTGTCGGGCTCGGTGGTTCACATTCCCCTGGTGAGCGACAGACAGGGGATGACGCACAACATTCTGTGCATCCTCAACCCGCTCTACCCGCTCATGGGCTGCCTCAGCTGCATCGCCAAGGTACAAATCGTTTACGAGCGCCTCCAAATTTTTGAGTACAAGCCATCGCTTGGTTGGTCAGTTGACTGATTGATTTTTGACGCCCAGGCCGCCTTCCTCCCATCGTCTCCGGATCAGGGCTTTGTGTTCAACAACATGCTCGTCTCCGTTTTTGGGGTAAGTCAACAAATGGACTTTGAAAATCGTCATTGTCGCCTTCATCATCCAAAGTATGGCTGGCAAAACTTGGCAAAGCTTGACGGCCACATTCCATTCTTCAAACGGGCAGATGGCCAAGCTCCTTAACCAACCATAATTGCCGTTTGGTTGCGCGTGCTGAAAGAAGACGTGACGGGTGCTGCTGTTGTGTTTTTTGTGCGCTCAGCCGTACCTGCAGTGTGTGGTGCTGCTGCTGGTGCTGCGCTGGCTGGAGCGCCGTTACGGCGGCAGGACCGTCAGGACTGATCGCTTGTGCAGGTAGGTCGGAAATCCTCGGCACGAAATGCCACCAAAGCACTTGTTGTGAGTCTTTGAGACGCAACATCCAAAGCGAGCTAGCAAGCGATGAGCTGTCAAAAGAGGAAGGCAGGCAGAGAGGGCTTTTGTGCGGATTGAGTGTGCGGCGCAAGTGTGAGCTTCGTGTCCCACGTGTCAGGATGTCCTCCAACCGGAGGCCCAAAGTGGAGCGTAACCCCGAGGAAGGCCCGAACCAGGACGAGGACCAGGACGTTCAGATGGAGAAGGCCCGAGTCAAGGAGGCCCTCAGCTGCCGCTCCTGTGACGAGGTGAAAAGCAGACCGCGTTTACCTCCGCATTGCTTTCCCTTGAGCATCTGGTGCTGCCGCTGTCCCAAAGTTGATCGTATGCTGCATGAGCTCTGATGGGGGTTTTTTTTTCCTTTGTTTTTATTCCACCTCCCGCAGAAGCCGCTGCTGGTCGCCAACAACCTGAGGAAGAAGTATAAAAGTCGCAGGGAAGGCTTCGCTCTCAGCAAGAGTGGCAAAGTGGCCACCAGGAACGTCTCTTTCTGCGTTCGGAAAGGTCTGTTGCTTTGACTTGTGCGTGAAAGGCCATGAATATCGAAAATGACCCGAATGATGACGCCTCTGCGTATTAGTAACGGAAATGTCATCAACAAAGACTTCAGTTCAGGTTGGCTGCGAGCTTTTTGTGAGATTTGGCTCGCATGGAAAACGTTTGGACTTTCACCGCTACTTTGACCGTTGTCGTCATCATGTTGGTCTTCCACGTGTCGTCTTCCAGGCGAGGTTCTTGGACTGTTGGGCCCAAACGGATCGGGCAAGAGCACCGTCATGCGCATGCTGTCGGGGGAGATGGAGCCCACGGCAGGAGAGGTACGCGCGTGTCTCGCCTGCTAAACACTCGGCAAAGACTCTTCAAGCAATTCAATGCATTCAGTAAATTCACCAAACACGCAAACAAAAATCGACATCTGAATTTAAATTCCAACGAAGACTTTCCAGCTGAATGAGCGTCGTTCTTGTGAGAACTGGCTGTAAGCGCAAGCGTTGCGACGTGTCCCCAGGTGCTGATGGGAGATTTTGGTTTGGGGTCGGGTTCGCGGGAAGCCTCCCCGGATCACGTGGGCTACTGCCCCCAGGTCAACCCTCTGTGGCCCAGGATGACGTTGCACGAGCACTTGGAGCTCTACGCCGCCGTCAAGGGCCTGAAGGGACGCGACGTCCCCGGGATCATCCAGCGGTAGGTCCGTCGCCTCACAGACCGTGTCGTCCTCCAGGCGAGGTTTTCGGACTAGCTCGAAGCAGCAAATGTAAGCGGTGTTCTTGCCATGTTTTTTTTTTTTTTTTTGTGTGCAGTGTGGTGACTGCTCTGGAGCTGAAGGAGCACGTGCATAAGCAGGCCAAGTCTTTGACCGCTGGCCTCAAGAGAAAAGTGGGTGAACATAACTCTTATTACTCCCCCCCCAAAAAAAGATGGTTTTGACGTTGCACTCTTCTTGGCAGCTGTGCTTTGCGCTGAGCATGATCGGGAACCCCGAAACGCTGCTCCTGGACGAGCCGTCGTCCGGGATGGACCCCAAGTCCAAACAGCGCGTGTGGTCAGATTGAACTTTTCCACATTCTTTCATTCATGAAATTTGTTGTTTAAATTGTCTACCATTATAGTTGATTATATCTAACCTCTTCAATTAAGGTTTAAACATGTTACATTTATTTTTATTTTTTTATATTTGGGATGCTAAAAGATGTATAACTATCGATGCAAAATGGTCCATTTCAATAGTAAAATTAAATTATATTATTTCGACTTAGCTCACTGGTTATTTCATTAAATTAATTTCAGTTTAAAGTATATCTTAGTGACATTAATTTAAACTTGATTATTTATGAATGATTTGAACAACAGCATGTAAACTAGGCAACATATTTGAAATAGTTTTTTAAATTGCTCATTCATTCTCATTTTGAGATCAATTTTGAAGAACAAAAAAACATTTTACGGGTTCCTTTGCCCAGCTTTGTTCTTGTCTATCTGCAATGAGGTGACTGAAGCGGGCCGTTGTGGTAGCGTGTTGATGTCGCCTGTTGCGTGTGGCTGCTTAGGAGAGCCATCCGTGCCGCCCTGAGGGACCGTCAGCGCGGCGCCGTGCTCACCACGCACTACATGGAGGAGGCGGAGGCCGTGTGCGACCGTGTGGCCATCCTGGTGTCGGGCCGGCTCAGGCACGTCTCGTCCCGTTCACGTCCCGGCGTCAAAGTCTCCAAAGTCTTAAGCGCTGTGCCTTTTGTCCGTCCGTCCCGCAGGTGCCTGGGCTCAATCCAGCATCTGAAGGCCAAGTACGGCCGAGGTTACGGCCTGGAGCTGAAACTCGGGGAGGACGTGAGGGGGCTCCAGCAGGTGGCGCTGCTGCACGAGGAGATCATGGCCATCTTCCCGCATGCCTCCAGACAGGAGAGGTGACCATTTTTTTTTTGCCTTAAGTATCGATAACTGGTATCAGAACCCTCCACGAGTACCTGATACAATAAAATGATGTTGTCAAAGGGGTGCGGAGGATGCTTGCATGTGTGATTTGACTGCTTGCTTGTTTTGACAGCTTTGCCACCCTAATGGCATATAAAATCCCCACGGAGGACGTCCGATCTCTGGCCGCCGCCTTCTCGCAGCTGGAGCGCGGTCAGTCGCATGCACGCATATACACAACTCGTGACATGTGGTGATGTCATCAACTGAGGGCGATGTCATGTGTTTGTGCAGTGAAGCAAACGTTCAAGTTTGAGGAGTACAACTTCTCGCAGTCCACTCTGGAACAGGTGAGACATCCACACGCATGACACTGGCATCTTCTTCATTATCATCATCATCTCGATAGATAGATTTCCAGCAGATATTTGAGTGAGTTGCCCGTAACGCGACAGGTCGTAACATGACCCCCGTGGCACCCAATCGTGTCTTGTGGCGCGTTCGCAGGTCTTCCTGGAGTTCGCCAAGGAGCAGGACAACGAGGACGACGAGGCGGGCTCGCTCAGCACCACTTTCCAGTGGCGCCGCCTGACAAACGACCAGTCGCAAGTCGACCACTCCGCTTGCGACAACCACGGCGACAGCGTCGTGCGACAGCTGTGACACCACCCCCTACGCCCGGACACAAAAAAAAAAACTGACCGTGTGCGTGTGTGTGTGTGTGTGTGTGTGTGTGTGTGTGTGTGTGTGTGTGTGTGTGTGAGTGTGTGTGTGTGTGTGCGCGTGCGTGCGATGTCAAATCTTTATCGCCCCTTTCTCACTGCTCACCAAAGCCTTTGTGTCGAAAATTGCGGCTGCTGTGCGCACACGCGATAGAGATGCGGGAACGTCCTATTCCTCGATGTCTGTGTGAAACACGGAATATACCGTTTAACACCTCTAATGTGTCAGTTTTGCAGACAGCCAGCACGAAAGGGGCGTTTTTGTTTTGTATTTTTTGTTTTTGTTTATTGCACCGTGTTTTTAAAAGGAAGTGCAAACCATCCAGGATGAATGCACCGAAGCGTAAAGGCTGTTTAAATAAGACGCTGACAAACCTACACTCCTACCAACACTGATTCCCATTGTCCCAGAAGCCACATCTGTGGGACTGCGCACAATGGTCACAGGAATGTTTTTAATGCGCAGGCGAGTGAACTACCGACGAGATGGCGTGAAAGGCGTTTCTGTGTGTGGTTTGGGAGCAATTCTAAATTGAATGCGAGCCGTCCAGAAGGGAAGTATGAAACAAAGCAATGATGATGACGACACATGCTCCCCAGACTGTTGGTGTGTTTTGGAAGGGATCTCTAACCCCTTTCATACTGCCCCACCTACGCTCAAGACTCACCACCATCGTGTTCAAAGCAATTGTCACTAGACGCTGCAACAGTGGTGAGAACGCACACATGATAATGCAGGGTGGACTGTAACCAATGTGGCGAAAAGGCCCTGCGAAGGTTTTTCAGTGATGTTTTTAGTCTGTGTTAAAAGGCCAATATTCGCTGCACCAGAAGTCTCCAAGGATGTCCCGTTTCTGAGCATTCTGTGGATGAAAAAGGGAGCGTGAAAAGCCGTTTGTTTAGTGTTTTTAAGTGAAAGTGTGAGCCGTCCAAGATGGAATCAAGCGCCAAATCAGCATACACGACAGCGTGTCTGTAGTATGGTCACGCCATTGGATGTGAGCTGTCAGGTCCCTTCATTTCACACTGACGCGGATGCCGTCCGGAACAAGGCGCGAGTGAGCGTCGTACATGTAGCGCACGTTACCCAGGACGCAGGCCTCCCCCCCAAAAATATCGATTATTTCTATCAGTATTTTGGGGGCTTATATTAGCACCACTAGTGAAATCTTTGTTGCATTTTGTAAAAAAATTTCCCCCTGACACTGGTGAATTAAAATGTATTTATTACATTTGATGTTCCTGTCTAATTAATGTGATATTTTCTTCCTTGATTCCACATTGTTTTTATCTTGTACGTTACATTCGGTATAATTGACACCGATCATGAGTGCATTTTTTATTTTCCACATTGTTTTTGATAATGGATAATATGCACTCGTGTTTTGTCCCCGCGCGGCTTCCGTCTGACTTCCGGGTGGGTGTGGCCCGCTTATCCGGAGTAGCCTTGCGAGCGAGGCAACAATTGCTACATTGTAGCTAATTTGATTTTTGTGGAGCCGGTGTAACAACAAACATCCTCGTGTCAAGTTGCTGCACGCTGATTTCGGTGGCCGCGTCTTGCGGCTGTGATGCTTTGTCACGATGGGGAATCTGTTTGCCAAAAAGAAGCAGAGTCGAGTGACGGAACAAGACAGGGCCGTTTTGGTAAAGTCATGGCTGTTCCAAAAGACGCTTTTAATACGGCACAAGAGAAATACATTTCCAGTTTGTACAATTTATGAAATGAGCATTGGAAACAGCTAAAAATGTTGCGCTATTTAGGATAACAAGCAACCTTTTGGCGGTGGTGGATCCCAAAATTGCCTGTGCAAGCTAAACTGTTTCAATCACAACTTTTTGCGTCTTTGCAGCAACTGAAACAGCAGCGAGATAAACTGAGGCAGTACCAGAAGAAGATCGGCGTGCAGCTGGAGAAGGAGAGACTTTTAGCCAAGCAGCTGCTGAAAGATGGCAGGAAAGAGTAAGTTGGGGGGAAAAAACAACATTGGCCTACTGTTGCAGCGTCTGAAACATCACAAACATTTTGAAACAATGTAATTGCAATTTTGCGTTTTCCCCTCAATATAGCGATTGAATGTGTGATTTGTTTTTAAAGGTCCTTTATTTATTTTTTTACCATGTCACTCTGCATTTGATTAATTGCTCCACAAGTTGCGAGTATCCAAAATGGCAATTCTGCAGCGGAACAGCGTTCAAACGTTCTTCCTTTGTGCCGTTTAGCAAAGCGCTGCTCCTGCTGAAGAAGAAGCGCTATCAGGAACAACTGCTGGACAAGACGGACAACCAGATCAGCAACCTGGAGCGCATGGTGGGGTACTTAGACTTGCATGGCTTAATCTTTGACCCCCGACATGTCGCTCGCTTGGCCTCATCGCCCGTCTGTCTTGCCGATGTTCAGGTTCAGGACCTGGAGTTCGCCCAGATTGAGAAGAAGGTCCTCGACGGCCTCCGAGTGGGAAACGAGTGTCTGAAGAAAATGCACGAGGTGGGCGATGGCCGGCACCAGAATGACGTCATTGTAATTGATGACGGTCTCAGTGGCTCTTCAGGAACATTCCATTCACTTGTTAATTTCAAAGTCGAGGTTCACAAAAAAAAAAAGCCCAGTTAAACTGAGGGAAGGTTTTCAAAATGGACATTTTAGCCCCTCAAGGGTAAATGTTGTGAGCTTTCTGTCGTCCTCCATGAAAGCTGACTGATGAAACCGCAGCTTTTACTTTGGATCGCAACATTTTATTTTTGACAGATGGTACAAAGCAAACCAGCCACCGAAATCTTCATTCATGAGCATTTTCTGCACTGTCGGTTTGAAAGAATGCCCTTTTGAGCTCGGAGCTTTTTCCTCCCCCTCCCAAGGTGATGTCCATCGAAGAAGTTGAGCGCATCTTGGACGAGACGCAGGACGCCGTCGAGTACCAAAGGGTGAGTGGGTGCCGCACGCGCTCAACACAACTTGAAGCTTTTGCGCCATCGCACGTCCCCTCCTGTTTCTCACATTAATTTTCTTTTTTCACTCATCCTACCAAATAACCGGGCGATTGATATCTTCTCTGTTCAGCAAATTGACGAGATGTTGGCGGGCTCGTTGTCCCAAGAGGATGAAGACGCCATCCTGGCCGAGCTGGAGGCCATCACTCAGGTGCTTCATCCTCATCATCGGCTTTTTATTTTTATGATGATGATGATGATGATAACCTTTTTCTGTGACCTCCTGCAGGGAGACGTGCTGCTTCCTGACGTCCCGTCGGACCAACTCCCGGACACTCCCGAGGCTGGTGAGGAGAAAGCAGGTTTGTTATTGTTGCCCCGCTTGTAGCTCAAATTCATTTTTAACTAACATGGCACCTGACTCATTCGTGTCTCCTTTAGCGACAGAACGTCCGAGGAAGAAGGCAGAAATGTTGGCTGCGTGAAGATGGAGGAAATGACCTTCCAACAATTCTAATTACCTTCAATTTCTCCACAACCTTGAGCGCCGAGCGCAACGAGGTTTTTCCGAAAAGATCTGTCATGCGCTGCAATTCAGAACTGCGAAACTGCCCAAAGGCACACACATGTACTATGTAGATTTTTTTTTTTAAACTTCAAAACCTTTTTAATGAGATGTGGCGCCAATTTCAAAATAAAAGGGGGCTGGATGGTGGACATAAATGGAAACATTTAAAAAAAATTTTCAACCTGTGTGAGAAGCTCCTTGGCGTGTATTCTTTTCACAATAAAAATGGGCTTTCTAAGCTTGTACAGTATTCTGCTACTGCTGTTTGTTTCGACCACCAGGGGACAGCACGTTTTCATTTTTTGGCATTAATTTTTATTAACCTAGCCTGCAAGATGAATTCTCGCGATATCTGTGTGTTCCCAAAACCCCGAGAATCCGTCTTGTCCCGTGTGATTATTTCAGAGCGTCAACACTGGAGCGGGCTGACCAATCACAAGGAGGGGTGGGGGGGCGGTTGTGGCGAAAACTTTTTTCGGTTGACTATCAGCTTGATTTCAAATCAATGTCGTGTTATTTGAGATACCCTTGAGCTGCATCTTTACATTGCAAAAAACGCCAACTGCCATTCAAGGCCACGATGCCATCCGTGCCGAACATCGAGATACAGACTCGGCGCTTTTTTTTTTTTTGTGGAGGGTGGAGGGGGTGATGCTCTGAGCGACTGAATGGATCCACGCCATGCGCGCGTAGGAACGGACGGCCAATGTGCATGAATCACGCGCGTGGATGTGGAGGTGCGTGAGCGTACGCGCCTCCACGTCCTTCAGGTGACCTACAACCCCGTTCGTCTTTGGCGACTTTTTTCCGGCCTTTGTTTGAGTTATTGGTCTCTGGTGTCAGAATGTTTGTCTGTGCTGCACAAAAGATGTGAGGAAGCGCCATCATGTTAGAAGTATTCAAGCGTTGTGTAAAAAGTGTGAAGAATTTGTGACCATCGTTCTCAACGGTCGAGGGGTTCGTTGACGCAGTACAGTGGGTGCGGCGAGCGACTGCGTAAAAGCAAAAAAAAAAAAAAAAATGTAAACGAGCGACTTCCCCGCCGGGCTTCCTGCGACTCAAAATCCGAAGCGGCGTTGGGAACGTCAACGTTGTTGGATTCGAGCTGGTGGAGTGGCTCGGCGCCGGCTTTGACGTCATCAGCGTCCCCCTCTCCCAAGGACCGCGAAGGCGGCGCCGTCCGCCTCTGCAAGGGGGGCGCGCGCGCAAGCGTGGGTTCGCCGGTGTGCTGTCGGTGGGACTTTCCTATAAAAGAGCACACCGAGACACCAGCTGAATTCCCGGCACACGTCCGCGCCGATTCACACCGCCAACATGTCCAGAACCGACGAGGTCCACCGGATCACCGAGAACGTCTACAAGGTAAGACGCACGCACACGCACGCACACACACGCACACGCGAGCGCGTTTCATAATGATCTTTTTTCACTTTAGCACGCTTCCTTTTAGTGTACTGTCTGTATTATTGTGAGTGGCATATTTTACAGTATCATTCTGTTTCTATCTTTCTGTCTCTCTCGTGCTCTCTCTTTCTCTCTCCTAACCAAATATATCTATAATATGTGTGAGCTCTTTGCCAGTGTTGTCATTTTGTATTGATGTGCTGCTATGGCTCTCCTTGCCCACATGCCAGGGCATTGCAGTAGCTAAAATCTGCTGTTTCTTCCTTTTGTTGGAATGATGTTGAATTACAGTGTGGGCTAATTAGTATGCCGGTGTCACACTCAAGGCACGGGGGGCCAAATGTGGCCGGCCACATAATTTAGAGCGCCCACTCAAGGAAATAAAATGTGTGTATGTCAAGTCTCCTGCAAAATTGATTTTTTTTTTCCATTGGGCTAGAAAATCTCCAGAAAAAATGATTATTATTATTAGATTTTTTTTACAAACATTACAACCCCCACCAACACCACCACAAAATCCCTTCTTAGCACGACGACAGTTAAATATTTACAATAATTGTTTGGTTTGTATTTTCCATGACTTTGAATTTCAAATTCAATTTGTTACGAAAAACATCATTCACAATTGCTATGGGATCTGACTGATGAATAAATTGGACAATGGCAGCTGTTTTAAAATTGGCATCACTTCCGGGGTCAGTCGAACCCTTGTCCTAAAAAAGATGTTGGTGGCTCAGGTGAGCGCCTCACCGTTGGGAGTTGAAGGTCAACATGGCAGCACAAAGATCTCAGCTGGCTTTCTTGCCGCCTCCCGCAGCATGCCACATTTCCAACCAGGTTTTATTATTCATTCATGGAGGTAAATTCTTCCCCTTTGGAGTCAGTAAAAACCACTTCTGGCTATTTTGACACATGGCATAGCTTAGAAGTACTTGGGGCCGAGTGGGTGTTTTACTGGCGAGTGGCCGGAGCATCATGGAGACCTGGTTCAGTCACGCATGAGGCCAAAGCCCCGTGACCTTTTCCCGTTCATCTGGCTCAGAGTGAGACCTCAGTGTGCCTTCAATGATGCAAACGTGCACATTTTTCCATGCCTCACGCTGTGCGCTTGTGTGCCTCTCCGTGTGTGTAAAACGTGTGAGGAGGCTTCATGTTAATGTGAAAAATGCTCCAGTCTGCTGTTTGGTGCTTTGCTTATGTCTCTGGATGGGTGTGTGTCTGTGCCTGTGTGTGTAGGCTCACCCACTGAGTCGTGATGATGATGCTGCTCGTGCTGGTGCTGCTGATAATGATGATGATGATGGGTGTGTGGAGGGAGTTGCGTGCATTGGCGGAGGTTGTGTTGTTGTTGTTGTGACAGAAAGACAAACAGACAAACACCATCTGCGCTCCCTCACAGTGCCACTTGGAATCCCAGCATGCCGCAGCCCCCCCTCGAACACACACACACACACACACACACACACACACACACACACACACACACACACACACACACACACACACACTGCTGAGTACACTGTAGTATTAACTTAGCTGTGGTAAGATGAAAACCAATTGTCCTAACCATCATTCTGCATTAGGCTACCCCCCCCCCATTGAAACCCTCCCAGAGCCCCATCTGCACCCCCACCGGTATGCAGTAGCGCCACTTGACTGTGCAGCAATTTCAAGCCCAACATAAAGCCAACTGCTGCTCTTTATGTAAGCGCTGACTCATATCACACACACACGCACGCACACACACGCACGTACACACGCATGTGGGCACACACACACACACACACACACACACACGCATGACATTGCCCCCCCCCACAAGCCCCACCCTCCCACATCCTTGCGTAACAAAAGATTCACGCACATATCTGTTTTGTCCTACTTGTGTTCTCCTTGCGTGTCACCAGAATGATTGCGGTTTTGCTAAGACCCACAACCAGACATTCAGGAGGGACCTAGAACTACACCTAGTCCTAAAACTAAAAACAGCTGGGACAGGAACTAGTACAACAGATAGAACTAACACCAGCTTGGACTAAATCATCATAAGATCTAGGACTACTATGAGATCAAGTTCTAGAACTAGTTCTTATATCAATTTATTTATGGCAGTGTAGAAACAAATCAGGGATGGCTCCAGGATTGATGACACATAGAGGGGCTGAGAAAATAATTTACCAATATATTTTGGAAGATAGTAAAATTCTAGAGGGGCTTTACTGGAGTTACAAATATTTATGACGGCGCTGTACTTGCCCCTCACCCCAGTGTCGCACCATCCATGGAACCGATTGCTGACATATCAGTTCATTTCAATTCGGGGAGTTGATTTGAGATACAAACACGGTCACCGGATGAAGTCGTAACGCAAAGGCCGTGCTTGTGGAAGTGGAACGAGCGGGTGTTGCTATCAGCTGTTTGGCAAGTCACATGACCAACGATGACACAGTGCGCTCAACTGGACCTCAAGCAACTACCCGCGGAAAAATCATTAGCAAGTGCAGCGGGTGCTTGGTCAAGGTCGGCCACTCGCGCAACTCCTCCCACTGTGCGTGCGCGCAGGCGTGTGCGTGCATGGCCCAGTAAGACGAGATTTCGGTGCGAGTCGCACTCACTCGACAACTAACGACGACACGCGTGTTCTCGCCACAGTCCATCATGGAGCAGTTCAACCCGTGCCTGAGGAACTTCGTGGCCATGGGGAAGAGCTACGAGAAGGCGCTGACCAGTGAGTTCCGCTCACCTGTCGCCTCACGCCGTTCGCCGTCTCTTTGTCTGAACTTTCCGTCTGCCCCCTTGTCTGTCCCTTCGTCTTGGATGCGTTTGTCTTCCTCGCCACTCCATCGGACTCTTTTCATGTCATGCAGCATCACTTCGTCGGCTTCCTTTCAAGTGGGTGCGCGTGTGTTCTGTCGTCAGCGCAAAACGATCGCCACAGACGAAGCATTTTTTAACTTGATTTGAAGTGTGGAGGTTAAGACTAAAATCATCGTGTGGAAATTGTGGGCTTGTGAGCTTGGGTGTGTGTGTGTGTGGACGGCGTACGTGTGCGCACGGGTGCTTGTACAGTACCGGATGCGTGTGCGCACTGAGGACGGAGAGCGCGCACACGCCGGCAAGTGGGACAGACGTCGTCTTGAGAATTGGGAAACGGGAGCAGGAAAGCGTCAAATGGAGGACAAGACGCTCCGTAGGTCGCGCAGCCTTTGCGGGCGACGGCGCACACTTTTGGGCGCCTCGCCACGTCGGCAGCCATCGCAACTGAGAGCGGGGACAGTGACAAGCAACATATTTCCCATTTGAAGTCGACTGACGACTCGAGTGAGCCGTTAGTGTTGTGGGCATGGGTGGAGTCGCGTTCGCCCCCCCCCCCAAAAAAAAAACAAAAAACGGAACGACGCTTTCTGTTGTTTACGTATTTATTTTCCAATCATCACGTCAATTGAGCTTTCACGAAGAAGGCATTCACTGGCTTGAAAGAGGGACTCGGCACACTTGTCCGTCAAATCCAGGTTCGTAAACCAGTGCAATCATTGACGGTCGCCAGTAGATGGCGCCTTTGCGTCACTTTGGATTTGAGATCAGCACAGCTTTTGAGTGGAAGACAAAGATTAGGGTTGACTCTGGCCTTGTCACATCGATTATACGGGAGCGAACTACCAAAATGTTGGAAGTCAGACAGGTTTCGGCACCTGACACTCCAACAGATTATGTAAACGGGGATTTTTTTTTTTTTTAAACGTAATTTGATCAGGAACAGACTTGAAAGGCAATTTTTTGGGAGGAAATTCACAACAACGGCAGTCCTTGCGGACGTTTCGCAAATGCTGGCAAATTCACATCTTGCAAAACACGAAGGACAAAAACAGCAGCATAAAGTTGCTGCACTCGTGCCTCTCTGCAAGCGTGCTTACCGTCAAAACATGAGTGAGGAGATTCACCTTTTTCCGTCGGAGCTTTGCCGCATTTTCGTCTTTTTCGTGTGTCTGTGACGTTAATCTTCTTTTCTAAAATCCGGTCGCCTCGCACTCCTCCGAGCTGCCCGTCCGTCGCCTCCCATTTTGATTGACAGCTCAAGTTTTGATCGGCTACACTTTGGGAACTTTGAAAGGAGCTTTTAAAATGCTTGTGCCCAGTTCTGCTTGCCGCTTTTGCCGCTTGCTTGGCCAGCCGCAATCTTCCTGACGCCGGCACGCTTCCGCCTGCCGAAAGCCGTTTGAGCATTTAGTCAACATCCGGCATTTCCAGCTGCACGTCCATCTTGAAGGCTTTTTTTTTTTTTTCGTAGATAAGGAGAAGAAAAAAAAATCAACAAGCGTCCTTGATACCCTGTTAGACTAGAAGAACATCGCCAGGAAGATGCAGTTCGACCTGTGCGCTCAGTGGTCCTCGTCGTCGTGAACTCGTACATGGACATGCAGCCGGAGATGACGGATGTGGCCTTTTCCCATATTGCGTGTCTGCAGGTGTCACGTCCGCGGCAAAGGGTTACTTCCACGCTCTGGTGCAGATGGGCGAGGTGGCCAGCGACAGCCAAGGCGCCAAGGAGCTCGGTGAGTCCTTGCGCTGGCTGGAGCAGGGTTTCCAGACACGCTCAGGCCTTCAAACCAGGCTTTGGGTTTCAGGATAGCGTTCGGACTTCAGAGTACCCCCCGCCCCCTCAGGAACACCTAATATCACAACACCCGCAGGCGTATGTTCTTTATCCCCCGCGCAGAGTGGCTAATACTCACTCTGGGGGTTGCTGCGTGGTTGCAACTAAAGGTTGTCTTAGAAATGGATTAGCCTTTTGATTCTTTTTGTCAGTTGATTGATGAATCCGATTAAAAAAAAAAAAAAATTATTTCCACTCTCGTCTTCCGCTGGCTGCATGACCGGTTCGAGTGTAGCGCCCCTTGGTGGCCAAAGGGGGCACACCAGAAGGGACAGCACCGTCAATTCAATTGCTCGGTTAAATCAGGACCTTTGAATTCTTAACAATCGATTTAGGAGTCGACGTTTTGATGCAGTACAAAATTCACATTGTTTTGTTTTTTTTTGTAATCATTTTTTGGGGGATGCCATTTGGAATCTTTTGAATGGGGGAAGCGATCACATCATGTGAGGGATGCGTGCCTGCTCCATTCACTTTTGCTGTCATGCGTGACGCCGAATGAGTGATTGTGAATGGCGTCCGTCCCACTCGTTCCCGCCTCCTCATCCTCGTCGTGGTCGGCCCGTCTGCCTTCGCCCCCGCTCGCTCTGCAGCCGGGCGAACACGTCGCCTGCTAAAAATAGACGAGCGGAGCTCCTCTGGAGGAGGAGGGAAAGAAGACGGACGGCTGCGTGTGTCTTCCAACAGGCCGACCAAATATGGTCTTGCAGTTCCGCTTGCCCTTGTTGGCCGTATCAGGGCCCGGAAAAAATCCGCTAATCAAAGATTCGAGGGATTCGAGCGTTTGCGTGGCAAGAATAAGAATAAGAAGAGGGCTATTGCTCATCATTCCACATTTCCTGCTCTTTCTGACTGTTTCACTCGAGTTTGTGTCAAAATCTGCCTGATTGTGTTTCAGTAGTGTATGTGAGTGGGGGAAAAAATGTCTGCCATGTGTGTGAGAGTGTTTCCATAGTGGCGCTGAGAGTATTGGAGTCGTGTATTTGAGAAGTGGATGTCGTCCAGTTCTTGGCAATGTGAGCGCCATCAAACGAGTCTTTGGAGTCGCGCGTACAAGTTGGACTTGAGTGTCTCGTTGGTGTCATCGTGACGTTTGTTTTCTATTAGCTGTTGATTAGAAAGTAGGGCAGGGGAATGGGGGTTGGGGGGGGCGGATTCGTTTTCTAAAAACTTGTTTTTGTGTGTTTTTGCAATGCGCCGCATATTCAGAAGAAACAGCATGTAGGTAACGCACGCACACGCACGTGTCACGGCCCACTTTGTGTTTCATGTCACTGTGGATTCTTTGTCACCATGACGCATTTGTCCCGCGCCTCTTCTTCCTCCTCCTCCTCCTGGTTTTCCTCTTCTTCTCGCTTCCCCTTCCTCCTCTTCCACATCTTCATCTTCTCTTCTCGCATCGTCCTCCTCCTCCCTCGTCCTCCCCTCTCGCCGTCTTCCTCCGCGGCCTCCCGCATGCCTTCGCCGGCCAAAACGTCGCGTGACGGCCTTTGTGTCGTCCGCAGGGGAGGTCCTGTTCCAGATGGCCGAAGTGCACCGCCGCATTCAGATCCAGCTGGAGGAGATGGTGAGCGCGTGAACACAAACAAATCAACCCGACCGGTGACGAAATAGCACAAAAATGCACGCGTGGCCTTTAAAAGGTACTTTGAGTTCTTGTGACAGCAGTTTTTTTTTCTTTTGTTTTTTTTTCCCCCCAGTTGAAGTCGTTCCACAACGAGCTGCTGACCGAGCTGGAGAAGAAAGTGCAGATGGACGCTCGCTACCTCAACGTAAGACATTTGGCGCCGTCAGTCGCCGCTTTGCGCTCCATTTGTGCCGGCTACTTGACACCCCCCCCCGCCCATCTAGGCGGCGCTCAAGAAGTACCAGACGGAGCACAGGAGCAAAGGGGAGAGTTTGGAAAAGTGCCAGACCGAACTGAAGAAGCTGCGACGCAAAAGTCAGAGCGGAAAGACCCCCGCCAAGTACGGCGACAAGGACCTGCAGGTCAGTTGCGGCCGCGCGACGCGCCAAACGCCGACCGGTTGCCGCTCCATGTCACGGCATGTAACTTGGAAAAAGAAGATTCAACATGTATCTCGATGCATGGATGCCACGGCTCAAAAATGTCACGATTCCATTTGTCAAATCAGAACTGAGTTCCCGCTTTCAAATTGGGTTTTGTCACCCCCCCCCCAGTAGGATTTATGCAAATTTCAATATGCTAATGCATATGCAAATGATGCCGACAATGTCGCAAACCGGATGCGTCGGTGATCACGGCGGTGCCTTACATAAAACGGTGTGAGCGTGGGCCATGAGTGGCGCCGTCTCGCGCTCGAGCGCCACTCGGTGTTACGTGACACACTTCCTGTTGTGTAAGGCTGTCCGTCAGGAGACGGGAACTTTTTTTTTTTTAAATCCACATCGACGCCTCTGCTCCACGTTAGCCCATAACCGGTTTCCAATTGTCGTTTCGGTGCCAGGCAAGGTGTCCAAATGAGGACCTGAAGTTTGGGTCAGGCTCTGCAATTAAGGTTTCAAAAAAAAAGGTTTGGGTTGCAAGCCGGTGATCAGGTCCTTCAAATGAAGCTTTCGAGCATCTCATCGGCTTGCAAATGACTAACTCACTCAGTGCCAGCCTGAGAGTGAATGGTCCCCCGTCCTTTTGACTGAGCGGCGACCAGTCCGCTCTCGTGGGATCCGGTTGTTAAAAAGCGGAGGCACGTCACAAGACTTTCGTTTCCAGTTGCCAAGCATGCTGACCCACTTTGGGTCTGCGAGCGCGCGTGTGGGCGGGAGACAGTGCGATGGAGACAGGAAGTACACAAAGTCATGATGTAACACTCAAGTGTTTCCTGATCTGGGGGAGACTGCGTTGTCATGGTGACCAACTTGACGGGAAATCCTCCATCTTTGTGTGTGTGTGTGTGTGTGTGTGTGTGTGTGTCTGTCTCTTGGACCTTTCAACCAAATGTTTTTGTCGTCCCAGCAGATGAGCGGCACCATGCCAGAGGCCGGCGCCAAAACCCTGGCCGGACCTCCGCAGTTGGCGGCGCTGCGAAGCGCCGGCGGCCCGCAGGTCACGACAACTTCCCTCCCTTCAAATGTACACTTGATTAGGGACACTCGCGCACTAACTAGTCGTTAGTTAGTCAGTGAGCATCCCTAATCAATTTGCCACGAGGAAAGTTGACCGTGTTTGTCACGTGTGGCCGCAGAGGCTGATGGAAGGCGGCGCCGAACACTACCAGCAGTGGCCCGAGTCCAAAGCGGCAGCGGTGCCCCAAGGCAAGACGTCGTACTCCAACACGCTGCCCGCACGAAAAGCGGCGCCCGCCAAGAGCAAGACCTCGCTGAGTAAGTCGGGATACACATCTGCAAATTGCTGGCACTTATTAACGAGTTAAAAGAAGTTGCGGCGTAACGTGTGACGTGCGTTCGCTTTCGGCCGCCAGCGGAGCCTCGCACGCTGCCGCGCTCCAGCTCGATGGCGGCGGGCCTGGAGAAGAAGCAGCGCGGCGGGCGGACGGCGCGGGTGCGGGCCCTCTTCTCGCACGCGGCCGGTGACAACGGCACGTTGCTCAGCTTCCAGCAAGGCGACGCCGTCACGCTGCTGGTGCCCGAGGCCCGCGACGGCTGGCACTACGGCGAGAACGAGAAGACGCGCATGTGAGTGTGCCCGCCCGCCGGCGCTTCGGCTTCCGCGCCGACGACCTGCCGCTGACCTCTTGTGCTCCGCAGGCGAGGCTGGTTCCCCTTCTCGTACACGCGCGTCATTTCGGAGGACGACCCGGACACCGACGGCCGACTTCCTGTTCACAGGTAAGTCAGCCCAGCCGTGCATGTTTTGGTTGCAATTTGGACATTAGGTTTTTTTTGCCGTCTGCCATTATTAGAGCGATCGCTTTAACATTTTGGGATTTTATGGAGCGATAAGCGTCTGCAACTATGTGATGTCAATTATTTTTCATGCCATGGAACAAATCATATGGGTGTTTTGTGTCATTTGACATCATTTCAGTGTTGTGTTTCATATATTTGGTGTTTTTAAGGTCATGTGACATCACTGATGTGAGACGTCATGTGTCACATGTGCTTGTTTGTGTGCAGCCTCCATCCTTGGAGGAGCAGCAGCACCGGAAACCTTCTGGACAGAGATGCCACTTCTGCCGCCGCCGCCGCCGCCGTCACCTTCGCCGACTACCACATCCACCCGCTGGCCAGACAGCCACGCCCCTACAGCGTCACCATGCCGGGTTTCTCGCAGGTACTACATGATGCCAGGATAGCAAAACGTCACATGCGGCAATGATGTCGCAGACATGAAATTAGCTGCGATCGTAAAGACAAGTCAGACGAGTCTTGGCACAAAAAAAAAAGTTTGCCCCTATGCAGAGTTACATAAAGGCATGAGGATGGGGGAGGGGCTGGGGGCCTCAAATGCACCCAGGTGCGTAGGAGAGCTCAGTGACACACGTCAGCGGCTGACAGCGGCGCTTATGCAACGATGCTCTTGCATCACTTGGCGCCCACAGCTCAGCGCTTCACAACACTTCAACATCTGCGTGGGGAATTTCTTTGAGGGTTTCGGGTCAACCCCAGCTAGCCCTCTGGATGGATGCGGACCAAGAAACTGGTCCGCACGGGTACTTAAAATGAACATTCTGTTTGTCTGGGCCTCGACGTTTGCCTTCCGATGAGGTCATTTAGCAAGGGAGGCAGGCATTTATGAGATTATGCGAGCCACTCTCCCAGGAGAAGTCCAAAAGGTCACCAAATTTTCCGCGTCAGTGTTTGCTTGCGTTCATTTGCTGCCCTCTTGTGGTGAGTCGCGTCACTGCAGTCTGAAACCCCCGTTCTCGTGGATTGATTGATTGATGGATTGCGTTTTCCTCACATCTCTTTCCTTCCCTGTGTTTGTGTGGGCAGGCAGCGGCGGACGAGTACGATCCGGCTCCCCGTTTCGTCAGCGGGTGAGCAATTTTTTTTTTTTTTTTTTCTTCATGTCAAGCGAGCACTTTAACTTTGCTGTTTTGATCATCCAAGACCTGCACCGTTCTTTAGTCTGGCTCAACGAGCATTTACGTGACATAAGAGTCCTTTCATTTATTGTTAGTTCATCAAATCATTGCTTTGTTGATCCGAAAAAAAATGTCAAGATTCAATTAATTCTAAATATAAATATCAAGAACTGAGAATGACTCACGATCAAAGCTCAATGAACAATTTTGAATTTGACTCCCGTCACTCGGAAAGGTGCTGCACAAATACTTATTGACATTTTACTCTTTCTGTTTTCCTGTGTGTGTGTGTGTGTGTGTGTGTGTGTGTGTGTGTGTGTGTGTGTGTGTGTGTGTGTGTGTGTGTGTGTAGTACTTCCGAAGTCAAACTCATTTCCACAGTGTGAGAACAGACAGAGCGGACTGCTGATTGACAACAGGAACAGGAAGCGAGCCCACAAGAATAGGTCGTGGTGGCGGCCGGCGTCTTGGTGGGGTCGGTTCTCCGCATCAAGCGCAGGCGCAAACTTATCTTTCATACACACACACACACACACACACACACACACACACGCTCAGTTTCAGAATCTCAACAATAATCCCAATCATCCTAATCAAAGTGTATTTGTATCACCAGTGGCATTTCCACACACCTCCAGTATGTAGTGAACGGAAATATTTGTCTTCTATGAGCACTTTTGATGACATTCTGTTCACGCCGATGATATTGCCACACTCCGACGGATGACATTCTCATGTTTTGTAGATCGCTGTCATGAATATGTGTTGCTGTGTATTGACATTATGATGGACATTGACATCACGCACACTGTTATGTATCATACATTTGTGTAGCCTGTATTATAGAACACACGAATATGTACAGGATATTTATTTACATGATGACACGTGGCTGCAATATTATGTATTACGAACACTCGGCGTGAGTCGTTCCACGCCAATCAGATATTTATTTATTTATTTATTTTGCAATTCAAGGTGCCAAGCATCCCCAAGCGGCGAATGGCCTTGTGTTTCAAAAGTCTGTACGGAGGCAATGCATGCTTTGACGGCGAAGCCGCAACAGAAACATGTAACGCTGAACAGCTGGCATCAGCTTCAACAAATATATCAATAAAAAAATGAAATAAAATATTACAAATGTATACAAGATGTTCTCCTGACACCCAGGCCCGCTTGTCCTCAGCTTGGAACGAACTTCACAACTTCAACTCAAATGTGTTTCAAACATTTCTCTGTTCTGCAGTCCAGATCGAAGCCCAAGTGCGATTGTTTAGGACAACAAAAGCTCGCTTTTGGGGAAAAAAAAAAAACTCAAAAGCTTGCGCAATCATCATTGAGCAGAAAACAACGCAAGCGTGAAGATCGCAAATTGCAAAATAACTTGTTTTGATCCGATGGGATATCGATGTACAATGATGTGGAATAAATATCCCTTTGGGAGAAGCGTATCTCATTTCAATCATTTTAATCTTGCGTTTTTAATTGAAAGTGCTCACTGTAAAATACTTGATCTTAAAACAGATGGAGTTCTGGAGCGGCTGTGTTTGGGTTTCGAAGTGTGTCAATTCAATTGTGGCTGCCAGTCCAAAGGAATCCATTCTTTCTCCACAGACTTCCTATCAAAGTGTGCCGACTCCCCCCACTTTCCTCCAAAAGCCTTTTGACTTGAATGACCCCCGCAGAGGTCGCCATCTGCCAGTTTGTGATGTGCAGCTGGCCAGAAAACCCTCATCATCATCATCATCATCACGACCACCCGACATACACCGTGCATCTCTGATGAATGAAAACACGAAATCGGCAAAACAATTCCAAAACAACATTCAAAAACTCCCCCTTTCAGCAGGGCTGGCAGACTTTTGTCCCGAGGGCCCACATTTCATTTCGCAAATGGACAAGTGGGGGGCAGCTTGTTTACGGATGGTCAGGAAAAAATACAAATACAGAATATTTTATTTTAATACTATACTAATAGTTCGATTTTTTTCAACTGAATTTGTCTAGTTACATTTCATTTACTCAAATTATTGACTGATATATTGGTTTTATACGTGATGCCATTTTCCATGAAAATAAAATAATTCCTGAAATTTGTACATATTTACTTTTACATGCAAGGGACAAAACTATCACCTTTTCCGATTTTTATTTTTTTTAATATTTTATTTTTTGGGGTGAGAAGACGTTTGTCTGAGCCGTCACGCCTCCGGAGTCAGATATGGACACAACCAAACCCCTCGTAGTTCACGCCTACTTTACGAGTCATCAGCCAATCAGAGCCAAGAAGAGGAGCCGGGATATCAAGCACTAGCCAATAGGCTAACGGAAAAGGCGGAACTAATGGACGATTCGTGACGACGAGATGTTGACTTTGAATGTTTGGTGGTTTTCGCTCTTCCCTGGTGCCAGTTGACTGACGGAGTGCGTAAATTCTCCCGTTAAGTGGACGTTGGCATTCCCCGTTCGTCGGAGAGTTTCTTCAGTGATGCGGCTCTTCACACGCTAAAGTATGTTTGTGTCTACGTTTTTCGGCGTGTAGGACGCGAGCGAGCGTTAGCTTGCGCCGTCGGAGCTTTAGCTTGTACTCTGTTGGCCTTTTTTTTTTTCTCCACATTTTGGAGCAAAAAACATGAAAAATGTTGAGCTGCAATCTGGCGTGAGTTTGTGTGCCACTCAAATCTCTTCTCGTGTTCGGCACTTCGCGTCGTCGCGTGGTCGTCGTGGGGAGCATTTTGCCATTTAGCATCATACTGACTGACTGACTGACTATTGATTTTGTTGTTATTTTTATTGTTTTTTGACCACGTTACTTATGCATTTCGCGACGTTCCGCTTCCACGTTGTATTTACTGTGATTGCTTTGCAATTTTGTCGCAGTTGAACTGGATTATTTGATGAGCTTGGTATCCACCTGCTGCAATCAAGCCTCGTTACTCGCGGTGGTGAGCGGTCAAGACCCGCTACAAATAGTTGAAAAAAATGTCGGGTTGGCATGTCCAGCTCCAGGCCTGGAGGGCCGCTGTCCTCCCTGTTTTCCATCTCTCAGCCAGTTCCGAAGCAGCATTAGAAAGATGCCTGATATATCTGATGTAAATCACCTTTCAGCCTTTAAAGGAGTTCGTTTAGCCGTCAACATTGTAGAAGGACCTGTGGCTGAAGCCTTTCAGGACCTGTATTTGCCACCTCAATTTGTTTTTTTTTTTTTGTGGGAAGGACCACGGAAGAAAAAAAAACATTTTCCACAGCACCTCAGAGGTTGGGAATGAGCGGTGGATATCATTCACTTGGTTATGTGCAATTTGCCTGGTTAGCTGCACGCAAACACGGCTCAAGTTTTCTTTGAGCAGAATGCAAAGGCGGTTTCTGTTGTTTGTAGTCATGGTCATGTGAGTCGCTTTGTTGTGATCAAATGAGCCGTGGTCTTATGCATAGGTGTCAAGTGAAGGATGCACGCCACGCGAAGCCCCTCGTCCATCTCGGCCACCCCGCCGGGGGACGTCCTGGACCTCAGCTTGTCCGGCTCGCGGCTCTCTTTCTCCAAGAGACCCGGCGGCGGTGCCGGCATGTTGCCCGCCGGCAAGTTCTTGGCCCGCTCGGTGTCTGTGTCGGCGCCGTGCGAGGCCCGAGGCAAGCGCAACACCCTGGTGAGGAGGAGCCGCCGCTGCGCATTGAAAACTTGCGCCATTGGTCTGGGGAAAACGTGCGTCTATCTTCGCAGGGCGACGGCGTGGGAAGTCCTCGCTCAGTCAAGAACCTGCGGCGCTCCAACAGCACCACGCACGTCAGCCAGCAAGCACACTTTGCGCTCAGGTACCATAGTGAGCTCACTTGACACACACGCACACACACTTTTTGTGTGTGTGTAGTATAATAACAAAAAGTGTGGGTGGGGGGGGGGGGGTTAAGACCTTCGGGTCAGGTTACCCTCACCCCACCCGGTGGAGCCAGTACGAGAAGAAAAGTGTGCGCTCTTTGCGCCTATTGTCCGGCATCTGTTCAGACCAGACCTAAATGCTGAAGTGGCCTTGTGTTTGGCTAGCCGCGTTTTCAACACCTCCCCCGAAATATCCTCGGTGCAGAGCTGCTGACCATAAGCCCGAGGCTAAAAACGCAATGCAACGTAACACGACATTGATAAGGACTGGGAAAAGTGTGACTCACATTTAAATGATGTGTTCCAAATCGACTTTTTAAAAATGTTACTTATTTTTTATGTACAACATAGAATGAGTGTGTATTTGCATCCGTGTTACTTTTGCTCCTCTCAGTCCGGACCACCACAGCGGCGACTACCTGACCGTGTTAAACAGTGGCGCCGACGGCCGAAAGAAACCGGACGGGACCACCTGGAACGTCTTGGTATATATATATATATATATATATATATATTATATTTTTTTTTCAGGACGAGCAACCTCGGGCACCCGCCGCGCTCCCCGTTGGCCGTAGCAGTGCTGGCGCAGACTCACCCAGCGGCATGAAGAGACGAGACCCCGCCGCATCATTCACTGCCAACAACAGGTTCCGTTCACTTCACGACGCTCTTCCGAAAGTTGTGCCAAGCGACGGTTAACTGGAGACGCTTTCCAAAGCCTTCCATTGATGTCAAATGCTCAAGACAATTTCAAGAGCCTGCAATGTCCACTTTAAAGATTTTTTTTATATCTATGTATTTTATTTTTTACATTTTGTTTACAAAATCTTAAATGGTAGAATTATTTAAATAAAAAAAAGCTTTTCTATTCTTCCAAAAATATTATTTTTAATTCTCACTGCTATTGTCACAAAATCAATTTGTATGGAAGAAAACAAGTATTCTTCCCTTGGGATCCTAACGCCTGTTCTCGGTCAGGAGCAACAAGGGCGCCGTGGGCAACGCCGTCACCACCATCTTGCACAACAACCACGGCGACAAGCCGCTGACGCCCAAAAGCTCCAACCAGAGGCCTCCCTTCAAGTACGTCCTTCCGCCCACCTTCCAGCTCGTCCGCGACGGCCTCTGCGATTGCCGCGGCTTTTTCTTTCAGCAACCTCCTGAAGGCCAGCGCCAACGACGACGTCTCTCTGGAGAACAGCTCGCTCACCAAGTCCCAGAAGAACTTTTCCTCCACCTCATCCAACAACAAAAGTCCGGTTCCGCGCGCCAGCCCACCCCCGCAGCGCTGCAACCAAGTCTCTGAGGAGGAGGCCGAAAGGTTTTGCCATGCATCTAAAAGTAGTTATGTAGGATTTCAAAGTCCCCAGTTCATTGCTTTGGCTTGAGCACAAAAAATGGCTAATATTGGAGAAAAAAAAAGTTTCCAAAAATACATATGTGTAAAAGTCCACGGTCACTTTATCTATAGCGAAATCTAAATATGCGACCGTTGATGGTGTTCTTCCAAGTGCTAAAGTGCGCCGAACCTTGCAGATACATCCAGCAGGTCAACCAGGCGGCCGTCACCATCCAGCGCTGGTTCAGGCGACATGCCAGGCGGCGCCGCGCCAACCGGGTGGCACTGCGACGCATCCTGGACAGCAAAAGAAAGGTCTGCGGTGCTCTGCAAAGCCATTTTTGTTTTTTTGCAATATCCTACGAGTGCGCCGGATGTGAACAACAAGGATCACTGTGGTCGCAGGAGTGGCAGGAGAGAGCCGAGGCCGAGAGTCACCTGGAGATGCCTCGAGACGACCGCAAGCTGATTCGGGAAGAAAAAGCTCGCCAGGCGCGCCTTGCCGCTATCCAGGTAAGTGATCACCAGAGTGTCTCTGCATTAAAAACAAATTTTTGATTGCTTTTTTCTTTTGTACTTTAACTGTAATGGATGCACCAATTGTCGATGATTTTGAATAGCCAGAAATCCATTCGGCAATTATTTAATGACATTAAAGAATTAAAGGTTTGTAGGCCATGGCTGCATTTGAAATATTTTATTTATAAAGGACGTACACTATATATATCGAAATGGTGAATTTAATTGGAGCTAGTTAGCCACTATTTAATGAGAGAATTGTTTTCATTTTGTTTAAATAAGAAAAGGCCTTGCCTCAATGTCTCCCTCTTGTGGTCATTATAGGAGCTGCAGCAGAAAAGAGCCCAGCATCATCCTCCTCAAGCTCCTCAACTTCAGGGCCCAGAGGCAGACGTAGAGAACCGCAGGGCGAGCGGCATGGCGCCAGGCAAGAAGCCAGCCAAGATTTTGCCGAGTAGCGCATCGCCAACCAACACCGCCAGCGTGTCGCCAACACACGCCAAAGCCAACAACACAGGTGCGTGTGTAACGTGTGCCAGTTTAAGACTCGTGTGAGCGCATTTATGTCCATGCGTGTGTGTGATGTCCCTGGCACTCATTCAGCACATGCCCACATGCATGTGCCTTTGTGTCACAGACTTCCACGCAAACGTGGCAGCCGACTTGAGCGAAGTGAGCTTCAGGGTGGTTTCTCCGGCGTTGACCAATCACAGAGC